TTCAGAATGTTTCAGTCTAGGCCTGTTTGATCAAGAAAAAATTTGTTATAAATAACATTATTTTTAAAGAAAAACAAGCTGCAGGAGCAATTCTCTTTAATTTATCTGCAATGACACTGTGCTTTCCATGCATTTCATGAACTTTCTGGCACACAAATAAAGTTTTTACCTTCAACTCAAGTGTAACCTTCTTTTTAGGAATCGACCAATCAGGAACAAATATCTAAAACCTAGAAACATACCCAGATAAAAAATCCCATGATTTCTGATTGCAGGGGCATACAGACATGCGAAAATCCGCATATTCGGCTCAAAACCACAATATTCTCACACTTGAAAATCTCACATTTTTTGTCTTTTGTAGCAATTGCTTCCACACTTATGGCATCTGGTCGCCCTCCTGTCTCTTGCGGAAGCTCCTGGGATAAAGGTATTCTCTGGACAGGCTCCTAGAGATTACAAGAGGTTAAAAAAACCTGTGCTTGTTTTTTTTTTTTTGAAGTTTTCCCACTTTCTTAGAGGTCCTATGCCTCTAACTCTGGAGAAAATAGAGAACCTACTGTATTTTTAGGCAAACATGGCAGGAGAAGACTACAGACCTTCAAAAGCCAAATCCCTTATTTCTCCTCTTCTGTCCCATCCCTTAATGTATTAAGTTTGGTGGTGGTGGTGGTGGTGAAAATTATGATGACAAGACGCAAATGTGAAGACTTGCTTTAAAAGAGAATACTTTCAAGAAGAGGAAGATTCACTGGTAGATATTTCTGTTTTAGAAATACAAGGAGCCACTCCCTGGCTCACTATTATTGTGATACCTTCTCCCAGTGGAGAATGAAGCCTTAACTCTCTGTATTTCTGCTTTTGCTTGGGTGAAGTCAGATCCTTGAAGTTATTTCAACATGTGGATGGCCAAGCTCCATTTAATGCAGTGTGGAATGGGTTCCCCCTTATCTCTACGTTCAGTGAACATCCAGGATGTAATTGCTGGATAAGAAAGAAAAGAAAAGAAAAAGGGAGCTCCTTGTTTGCTGCTTGATCCAGGAATGATTAAAGGTAGAAGTTTTTCAGACATTACCAGCAGAAAAGAGTATAGTTAAAGCTGCTTCTTTTTTTTTAAAAAAAAAAAGAGGCTTTATAAAGGGCCAGTACTCAAACTACTATTGTTAAAACCTGTTAAAAGGCAGGAAATCAGTGAGTGAAATGCAGCTTTTTCACCAATTACTGAGAGGAGTGTACACCTTAAAGCACTCTTTGAATTGTGTCATATCAGCCCCTTTTTTCTGCACGCTCTCTCTTTCTCTCTTCAGCTTCTGATAATCTTTACCTCTCTCCCCGCTTGCTCACTTCGTCTTGTGCCAGCCATTCATTGGGTACATTAGTGGGAAGGAGGGGAGGGAAAGACAGTTTACAATGCTACACCAAGTTCACTTCTCGCTTGTTGTTAGCAACCCATTTACAGCTGAATGACTGTGAGCAAGAGACAGCTCAAAATGACTTTCTCTGCCTCTTCAGGAGCCCACTTGGTGGTCAGGCTTTTTTTTCTTTTTAAAAAAACACCAAAAGGAAATAATTGCTCAACTGAACATCCTCCGCTTTCAAGGCAAATGTGTATCATTCACCTGGTTAATATTCCACATCTTTCTTCCCATTTGCCATTTCCTTATGGTCAGTATTGAATGGGGAGAGGTATTCTTTCTTTCCTGCTTTCCTTCTTTCTCTTCTTCCTTCCTTCCACAACTGTTTAAACAATACTTCATCAAATGCAGCCTGAAGCA